AAGTGCAGGACCCGGCACTTGGCCTTGTTGGGTTCCTCTTGACCAAGCCAGGAAGGAGCCTTGCTCATTAGAAATTCCACAGCACTGTGATCTGCCAGTGGCTCTCTGCATAACAAACCCAAAATCAGCCACCAGCTTCATAAATAGTACCCAGTCCGTAGGCATCTCCAGCATAATTATGCCTCCTGAGCCAAGGGAAGATTTTTTGTGTTCAGCTGCTGCCGTTGTCAAAGGCCATCATTAACATGCATAAAGAGAAGGAAGCCTTTTTTGTTTGTTTTCGGGTTTGAGATGCCAGGGCTTTGAGCTTGCTTTGTCGCAGTGATTACCTTTTCTTCTTTCTCTCTCTCTTCCCCTCCCTTAGGTTTCTGACAGATGTGACTATGTTTTTGTCAATGGCAAAGAAATGAAAGGCAAGGTGAATGCGCTTGTGAACTTCACCTATCAGTATCTGAGTGCTCCTCTGCAAATCACAGTCTGGGTTCCACGCCTGCCTCTTCAGATCGACATTTCGGACACAGAACTGAGCCAAATAAAAGGCTGGCGAGTCCCTGTTGTTTCCAACAAAAGGTGGGTTTGAGTTACTAAATTTCTTGAATGTTTTTTGTAAAATGAATGCAGTTGTTTTTAACTCTCAACAAGAGCAGCTGCTGCACCTGCACCCAAAAGGCAGCGTCTTTCCCCAAGGAACAGCAGTACTGGAATTCCCAGCTTTGCACCGGATATCTGCAGATACAGTAAAGCTTTTAAAATCTGTGGGAGTTTGGCTTCTGTGCATGTGTCTGTCCTGTGCAACAGAGACAGTTACAGCTCTAGTGAGGACCACTTCTAGCACTGTTGTTGTTCAGACATACCAGCTTAAATGAAAAAGTAGCGTCATGCATTTGTAAGGTCCTTCATCATGGTAGGTAGCCGTGAATCAGCAATGCTCTAACGAAACAGAAGAGAGGGCTGCTCTTTATGGGGGTACTCTCCATTAGCACTCTAATGTTAGTTTTCACTAATGTTCTTGAGAACATTTGTTTATGCTTCATTTTCTTCTGAAATAAAAGACCCACCAGAGACAGTGATGATGAGGACGAAGATGAGCGCAAAGGAAGAGGATGCACTCTGCAGTACCAGCACGCCATGGTGCGAGTCCTCACACAGTTTGTGGCTGAGGATGCCAGCCCTTGGGGTCAGCTGAGCTACCTGCTGGGCTCTGATTGGCAGTTTGACATTACCGACCTGGTGATGGATTTTATGAAACTGGAGGATCCTCACATTGCCAAGCTGCAGGAGGGCAGGATTTTGATCGGACGGGAAGTAGGAATGACAACGATGCAGGTACTGTGCTCTGGGCTGCCACGTTCTGCTGTTCTCATAGAGAGCCTGTGTGGGGGCATCAATCCAGTACAGCTTTCTGCTGTCTTGAAACGTGGTAATTTCCCATTGCCTTTCTGTGGCCTTCTAGAGTGTCACACGCAGCATTAATGCAACGATAGTGATCCAAGCTAGAGGATGCAGCATGGCCAGGAGCTGGAAGCCATGGAGCTCTCGGAGATGTTTAGGAGAAGTCAGATATTCAGTGAGAAGTCAGAGCTCCTGCCCCATATGGATGCAGGTTACCACGAGCCAACTGATGGGCACCATTTTGACTTTCTGAGGTCTTTAGATTGAGCCAAGTTTCTTTTGACTTATTTAAACATTAATTCAGGAAAAATAATTACAACCTGGTTAATAACCCTGAAAGGCACAAGTGGCCAAAACCATATCCCAGTTTTGCCCAAGCTGAATCCTTACTACAGCCAATGCACAAAGAGTGAACATAGCTAACCTAGGCTGTAGATATGGGCTGGGGAAGCTGGAGAAGGTAGTGTATGCATGATCTAGCTATCCTTAGATCCTTAAAGACAGCAGTATGGCCCTTGGTCTCATTGAAGGGAAGGATACCCTACTACCTTGGTGCTCCATCAGAAACAGAAAAGACAGAGAAACGAGAATTTCTAAGGAAAGAAGTGAAGGACAAATCCTAGATGTTGCTAACCTTCCTTTGAAGTGGTTGGGAGTTAAATCTGGTGAGCTCATCCATACTGGGACACAGAATAACAAGGAAGAAAGTTTTAAATCAACTCTTTTAGTGAAATGATGCAAATAACACAGCTGAGATAGTTAGCTCTCAGTATTGGGTGCAATGTTCTCAGCCATAGCCTGTCTCCTGAATGTTTTTCTGACCCTGCTAATGACACCAGACTGCCTTTTCAGTGTGCTCTGCTATTTCATTTCTATGCATAAAGCTTTGGGGACAAGAAGGGATGGTGACCTTAAGAAAAGTTATTTTAATTGATCAGCCTTTTCCTAAGTCGATTCTTTTGCATTTCTCCAAAGGTTTTGTCACCTCTGTCTGACTCCATCCTGGCAGAGAAGACAGTGACTGTGCTGGATGACAAAGTGACCATAACAGACCTTGGAGTCCAGCTGGTGGCTGGGCTTTCTCTCTTTCTTCAGCCAAGTGCGGCGAGCAGTCGAGCTATTGTGGCTACAGCTGTTGCCCAAGAGCTGCTTCATACTCCTAAGCAGGTAGGGTACACTCCACATTTACTGTTGTTGTTTTGGGATGGGGCAGTTTTATCAACGTGAAGCAGAGATTACAATTCCTAACAAGTTTAGAAGTTAAACTGTAAAATAGAGGTGCAGTTTGTGTCCCTGCCCATTGCTTTCCTCTAGAGGTGTTCTTGATTGTCTTCTCATTTCTTCCCTTCAAATGCAGACTTAATCTGCTGTAAAAGTTCTGACTGAACACTGAAGTTTATACTATTTACATTTTTAATATCCTTCCTTTAAATGATGCAACATCTGTTATTTTCACAGCACAGTCAGTCTTTGGACAGTGATCCTTCTTTGCGAGATGAGCATGCCCTTGTTTTCCGTGCCAGAAAGCACAGAGCTCTGTGTGTCACAACCATTTAGTATTGTGAAGAGCTACAAAGTAGAGGCAGAAGATAGCCAAATATATTTCTTTTTCCTCCTGGAGTCATGACAGACTGCCAGCCTCCTCTGCTTTTATTTTTCAGATGGATTTTGGGGGGTTCATCCTTCATTAGGGCATCACTGGGCTGATCTTACTTAATTTAAACCAGCAAATTTCCATCTCTGTGAAGGGAATCTTTCACACAGCGTGTTTCAGGTCACAGCCCATGTGGAAAGAGGACTGGAGAATACCACCAGATCATGGCAAACAGCAGTGGAACAAGTTGTGTGTTCACTGCTCTTTCAGTCAGGACTGGGACAATGCAGTTAACCCTGTCCACAGGTTATCCTCTCACAGAAAATGTATTTTATCCCACATACACAGGGAGAGATCTGAAGTCAAGTTTTATGGCCCATTTTCATGATTACTGCTACCGAATTTTCTGGAACATAAAAATAATTTAGGTTGTTGTATAATTTAGTGACAGGAAAATGTCCAAACTAGAAGGACATGCTGCCCATCTGTTCCTTTTACTGCATCCTGTAAACGTAAGAATCTTATGTAATTAACCCATTTATGCCCTTCTCCAGGGCTTAGAAACCACATCTGACATATTGTCTTCAGACAAAGACGGTAAAAGCAAAAGCTCAAGCGTGCCTAACCCAATTCTGTTATGTAGGACAGAGCACCATTTGTCCTGCAGCATCACTGGAAGAGTCGGGGCTTTGACTGCGGATAAAAGAGGTTGTGAATCTGGAAAGTCTGCACAGATTGATTGTCGGCTTCTCATGTCCTGAGTATGCAACGATATTTATCAACATCAGGTTAGGGCATATCGTGATAGGGCATTTCAGTGGTTTCACACTAGAAAATACATTAAAGGAAATAGTGTTTGCATAGGAGTGGCCTGTTGTGTCACATACATCTTTCATTTGCAGTTTGAGTGAAGGATGTAACATTTAAGTCACTTGTCCTTAGAACAATTCATGGAAATGTAGGAATGCTTCTGGCTAAATGTTTTAATAAGAGACTCACGATTTGGAGTATACCAGCTGAGACCCTTACTGAGCCGGAATTTCAGAAGGCAAGTGCTGATTCTGAGAAATCAAGGCCTTTGAAAGAGGGCTTTTCAAGGGGGCAGCCCAAAACTGAGCATATGCTTGAGTGTTGCAAGGCCTCTGTCATTGAAATGTATCTTTTCCTCTTAAACAAGGTCAGAAAAAGGCCCAGGTAACTCATGCAAACCTTACTGATGCAACTGAAAAACAAAATAAGAGTTAAGATAGCTGAAGGTTTTCTTTTTCTCAGGAATGATCGTGTGTGTCTCGGCGTTGTTATATGGAAAAAATATGTTCTTAGTCAGATGTTTTCCTTGGCTCCACTGTAGTTCCAAGCTTTAGCATAGATTAAGGAAATGTCCTTGTGCAGTTGGTGCTGTGGCAGGCACAATGTTGTCCCTAGCAGATTACGTGGTACATCTGCATAGTGCAATGGAAGGCAGACAGCATTACACAGAGCATGCCATTACAGAATATTTAATACCATAGGAATGAATTTTGTACTTCTGCTGCCACTTTCTTTCAATGAATATAATGACAACGCTAATTCCTTGGTTATAGTGACCACACCACGTCTGCATAAGTAGCACAAAGCAGCCAGGACACCGAGTCCTGAAAAGCTGGTAGTTTGTCCAAATACTTCACAATCTGAAGATGATAAGCTATTTTTTTTTTGTCTTGGATGCCTTAAGCTAGATGTCTTTATCTGTAGTTGGGCAACTAATTGCCTGAGGCGACCTTGAGGGATGCTGAGCCTATACTTCTTTTTTTAAATCAATGGGGAGCTCATTGGCACTGAAAAGCGGATCGATGATTTAGGTGCCTAAAAATAAACACAGGTTGGCCAACTTTTAAATATCAAACTTTAAATATCTTCTGAAAATTTGGAAGCTGTAGCTATGAGCAGTCTGTTTTTAGTGGTCATCTGTTCAGGTAGGAAAGCTGTTCCATTTGGCTTGCTGATGGCTGTTCACATCAACACTGCCTTCTTAAAGGCTTCTTCACAATGTAAATAAAAGAAAACCGATGGTATTGAAGTGTTCTGTGATCTGAATGAGCTTCAAGGACTCTTAAATTTCATCTGGCTCTGCAGGGAAACCCACAGTCGTATCACAGCTTTTTCACCACCGTAGGGTATTGCATGTGGTGTAATGAGCTGAAATGGGAGAAAATGAAGAAGAAAGAAAGCCTTTAATAAATAGCTGTGTATTAATATATCTCTCAGTGTTCCTGGAGAACTGCAGAAGATTTCTTAGGGGAAAAAAGAGCCATGTTAGAGCTTTCTAAAGGCCAAGTTCTTCTCTTTCACACACGCATCTCCTGTTGGCATCAATGACAAGACCCAGTGTGCTCCGAGATGAAGACAAGGGGATGTCCCAGGGTGTCAGCTCTCACTCTGACAGGAGCTGAGGGGGCTCAGCGCCACCTGAATCAGGACAAGAAGCTCGACTTGCTTCCATGTCCCTGCCTTTTGCATTGACATGATGCTGTCCTGTTTTAACTGATGTCCTTCATGCAAACTCATTCTGGGAGTTCACTGGTGTCTAAGTAACAGCTATCAGGTGTATTTTTATAGTGTGGATTCATTACCCCATTCTGGCAGCGTAAGTTACACTTAATTTATATTTATATCTTTAAACTGACAGAGCAGTGTAATGGCTCACAAGTATGACAAAGGAATTAAGCAGCATGGGAAAGGGAGGAAGGATGTGCTGTTAGATAAGAATCTGAATTCTTCCCTTGCAAATACAAGCAAATTCCCACTGGAAAGGAATGTCACATTAGCAGATTGGACAAAAAGGAGAGAAAGAAATACACAGTAGGGGAATGCATGGTTTGAATTAAGATCTGAGTCTTGGCTGCCTTTCATTTCCACATCATACCGATCAAGCCCGATTTTTACTACACAAGCCACAGGCTTAAAAATAAGTGCATATGTAATACTTTGATATTTCATGTGATAAAATTGCTAGGGAAATGCATTTCAGCATTCAGGTCCCCAGACAGAGCAATCAGAGCTGGTCTAATAGGAGCTGCTGAGAACTGTCTTCCCCAGCCTTTATTTGAGGGAGGGATGTGTTTGTTTTCTGCAGAGCCATCCATTTCTTTCCTGTGGTGTCCTGCCTCACTCCACACCTACTGCAGCTGACCCCAGCAATCGAGGGCTTTTTCACAAATAATTTTATTTGTGCTTTAGGTCATTAAAAGAGCTCTTTATTCTGGGCGTGGAATAAAATCAAATATCCTGATCGGTCCTCACACTGATGTTTCTAAGCAGCAGAATTCTCTGAAATGCAACCAGTCCTAAACACTTTACTCCCCATGTTATTTCCTGAAGAATGCAAGGCAGCATACCCTGGTATGAGGCTGACCCCAGCTTTTTTGAGGAGGTATTGAAGGACACATTGAAATCACCGACTGTGGTGCTACAGAAGGGCTCAGCAAAACATCCTCACATAAGCAGAATTTCAAATGCTGTACGATGCTTTAGAGGGCAAAATAATCATCACTTTGGCTCCCAGATTTTCACAGGCAGCCCAGCACAGTGGGACTCATCAGCTCTCTGTATGATGGGGTCTCTGCTCAGCCTCCAGACCAGCCCTGCATCCTGCCTTCAGGTTGCCTTTTGGAGTGTGAACCTCCTTGTTTTATCTCGCTGGAACAGATGTAGCCACCAAACAACAGTGTTGGTGGTGACTCATATGGCAGGGTTTGGAGTATCCCAGGTTGGGCAATACAGAGCTCCTTGGGGACTGTTGGTGTCCATTAGTGCCATGTTACTTCTGTACTGTTGTTATTTCCCCTTTGTTTTAACCCACTTAAAGATAATGAGTGGATACCAAGGGAGATAAAACTGCTAACAAAAGGCGAAATGCAAGTTTACCCAAGAAGGTTTATCAAGTGGCATCTTTGAACTGATAAGCAGCAGTGTAACTCAAGACCAGGAAAGGTGATTGAAACACAACAGATCAAGAACTGGCCAATGTGCTGGTCTGCCGTGGAGATACATCAGATAGAGGAAGAGAACAGCAAAGGCACAAGGGAAAATGTAGACAAAATGTGTCTTGATAAGGAAGTTTTTATGTGCTTAGTGAAAGCATGATATTTGATAATCAGCAGTGGTTTTGGGAAGCAGTTTCTTCATCTCCTCTGGACTGGATTTTGCTGTCATTAAGATGATCTGATGTACATGACCTGACTCACTTCACACCATCACAGTCACCACATAAATCATCCTGTTCTCTGAGAGACACTGGCACTCATGTGTGGTTGTGGTTCATTTCTTCTGGGAGTGCAACTGAGCACGTGTGTGTGTGAAAGAGAGAGGAAAAGTGGAGGAAAAAAAGACTGGAGAGCCAGATAATGCCTCCAACTATTTGTTAATGCTTGATAATTAATTAACACAAACATTTGTCACCTCAGTGTTGAGGCCATCAGACTGGGGACAGCAGTTTTGCAGGTAAGAAGGCTCCAATCCATCTTCATCTGCTGATAGTAATTGGAGGGCCTTGTCAGAGATTTGGAGGGGATTTATTGATGTGGTGCATAGGATTTGCAGAAACAGCTCTTTGAAGGACATGGTGCTAAATCATTTCTTGTTTCTTCTTTTTTTATTTTATTTTAGCTTTTTAGAATTTATAATCAGTTCAGAAATTCACTTCCTTCTCCTGCCTTCAGCTTTCCTTTAACAATGTGAATGAGAGGAAATGATCTCTCGCCAAACAGAATATTTGGGCTGATACAATACACTTTGGCAGGATTTGACATTCTCTTTCTCTCATTTGTTTTCTTCCTCTTTTAATTAATGTTGTCTGTAGTGTAAGCGTGAGAATGTTGCATTGTGTTGTGTTGTGAAAAAATTGGTTCTTCCCATGAAAAAAGGGTCTCTTGGATATAAAAAACGTCAACGCTGGTTGAAAATAATGGCTAAGCCATTGCACACCTCTGTTATCTACAGTAAATCACATGTGTGCCTGCAAATTTCGGCTGACTGCCATTTCATTTCTCTTTCATTCTGCTTCATAAAACCAGGAATGCAGAATAGTGGAGAAACAGTGTAAAGAACAAAAGTCGGTTTACAACTTTGTCGAATTCCAGCCATTTGGGCTGAATTTGTCGATGCTGGCTGCCTGTTTACTTCAGAGGTACTTGAGAAAGGCATCAAGATTAAAAAACCCAACCAAACAGGAATGTAGGCATCTTGAAGAAGACAGGAAAGAAGAATATATAGCTCCTCATAGGTGTTCCTCTGCAGCGTCTGTATGGAGACCCCAGGTCCCTCTGAGGTGCTGCTCTGCCACCAATAAAACCTGCTCACATAGTAAAGGCGATAATCAGATCTGGGGCTGTGCAACCCCACGTATGCTATGTTTGGCTATTAAGGAATGCACAAAGGATGTAGTAATGTAAATCCTTTGGTAGAGATGTGGAACTGGGAGGAGACACAGACCTCATCATTTCCAACCTTAACTGTACGAAATTCTGCATTTATTTTCTCCTTCTGCTCTCCAAAAGAGCACCACAGGCAGACAATGTTGTGATATATCCTTGAAACGATGCCTGTATTTCTCCCTTCCATAGGTTGATGAAAAGTAAGGGTATCTATCTTACACACCTCCCCAGTCGTGTGCGAGGCTGTCCTTTTGGTTTAGGTATAAGGAGGACAACATGGTGTTGAATTGCCGGAGGAAATGCATCTTTTCCTCTCTACACACATCCATTAAAAGGAAAAAATCCTTTACTTTCCCACGGCCGGGTTTGCTCTGTTATAGATTTCTATGATATAAATTTAAGCTGTGCCCTGCAGCTTTATGTTTCTGTCTGTTCAGCCATTTCGGGGTTGTTTCTCTAATGAAAGATCAGCTGTTTTAATTTCCTTCCTCGGTTCACCCTTCCCAGCTTCTGAGCTACCCCGGCTCCATTTCAGCAGTTTGAAGTGCATTTGAACCACCGAGAACTTTGCCTTCTTTCCCGTTGTGCCACAGCTTAATTTTCTTCTTTCAGTCCCTCAAGAACTTGCTGATAGCACTTTGGAAATCAAATATTCAGTATAGCCCAACCTTCTGCACAGCTAAATGCCCCTTGCTGTTTTCATTGAAAAGCTTTAAATTTAACTAGAAGGGTTGCAATTCCCGTTGTTTATAGCCATAGCATAACAAACGGTAGCCAATTGAAAACCACGTTAGGTTGTAAATTTGTGTATGACTTGAAGTTAGCAGGGCAGCAATGTTTCTCCCCGATGGTGATTTTCAGCCCCGTTGTTCTGATGTCCCCAAGTGTAAAGTTGTTAGGGCCCTCTGCGGTTTAAGTCTGGGAAGAAAAGAACTTTGGTGTTGTGGGAAGTTGCACTCGGGGCAATCTGCCCGCCCGTCTGCTGGCTGAACAGGCAAGACATAGAGCAAATGGAAAAATAGAGAAACCTCCCGCAAAGAAAGCTGCTGAGATGGGGAGGAGTGAATATCTGTATCATCTGGATGGGATTTCAAATGGCAGAGAGCTGACCTCTAGCTTTGTGTTTGCTTCTAGTGATGACTTCTGACAGTGCTACCTGCAGAGAACAAAGACAGCCCAATTAAATTCAGGCCATTTGTATTTTTATCGCAGAGATCATACCAGAATCCCCATCCTCCTCTGCTTGAGACAGAAACGCAGTGGACTTTTTAATTAACTCAAGAACAAAATGTGTTTTGCTTAAAACAAACCTTTCTCCAGCAAAATTACAATTGCTCCATAAGTCTTTTTCTTTCAGGTGAATCTCCTGCTCCAGCCATTTCCAAGACATTGTGGTAGCTTCTTATTCTCACTAAGATATTTATGCCTTGTTTAATTTGACAGCTCCCCATGACACCTGTGCATGGGGAACATGAGGAAAATAAGTGTTCTGTCAAGTGCCTCTAGTAATTTTTCTGGTTCGTCTCTTTCAGCTTTTGTATGACAAGAATTACTTTCTTTATAAATCATGTAAATTGTAGCTTCTTAATGGGTACTTTGGTATTACGGACACCTCATATCAATTATTTTATATGTTCTTCTGCAAAACATTTGCAGGAAAGATAACAGTGGAACCTTTAGTGAAAAATGTGACCAATTTTCTGCCCCATCAGTCGAAGCTTGGTTCGGTTTAAATGCAGTGCAGAGCCGTTGTCTTCCGTTTCCTTGGAGGGATTGATGAGCTGCAATGGGTTGAGCTGTTTTATTTAAGACCCTGTCTTTAACCATATTCCTCTCCTTTCAGGAAGCTGTGGTAAGCACCTGGATTCAGTTCAGCGACAGCTCTGTTACTCCACTGGACATTTATGACTCGAAGGACTTCTCCCTTTCTGCCGTATCGCTGGACGAAGGCGTCGTCTCGATCCACCAGAACTCTGCCTTAAAGTGGCCGATGGTGGCAGCAGAAGGTGAAGGTCAGGGCACGTTGATCAAGGTGGACATGATGATTTCTGAAGCCTGCCAGAAGTCCAAGAGGAAAAGCATCCTGGCTGTGGGGAATGGCAACATCAAAGTCAAGTTTGGCCAGAACGATGCAGACTCCAATGCAGGTGGAGATTACGATGCTGACGAGATTGAAAATCATGCTAGCGACCGGCGGCACAAAGCGTCAGATCAGGAACGGTACGGCCAGGATGGGCGATATTACGGTAGCTCGTCGGCAGAGCGAGAGGAAGGAGCCATCAGGAAAGTCAGCACCACAGCGAAATCCGTAATAAAAAATAAAGTCATTAAGAACAGTAGGCTGGATGGTGGCAAACTGTCGGACGATAGCCAGCTGCAGAACATTCCCATAGACTTCACCAACTTCCCCGCTCAAGTGGACCTCCCGAAAGGCAATGCAGACATGGAGGAAAACGACCTGGTGCAGACACCCAGGGGCCTTAGCGATTTGGAGATCGGGATGTATGCTCTGCTAGGGGTCTTCTGCTTGGCAATTCTAGTCTTCCTAATAAACTGTGCAACATTTGCACTGAAGTACCGCCACAAGCAGGTTCTGGTGGAAGGACAGACCACCATGACCCATTCCCATGACTGGGTCTGGCTGGGAAACGAAGCAGAACTGCTGGAGAACACGGCAGATGCATCGCCTCAGCAGGACGAGCACACAACCATCATCGACCGAGGCTCGGGCTGCGAGGAGAGCAACCAGCTCCTCAATGGCACTGCTCAGAAGAACATTCAGAGCCAGGTCCACAGGTGTGCTGACTCAGGGGGCAAGCTGGGGAAGGAGCAGAAATCTGACCCTTTACATTCGCCGACATCTAAACGGAAGCGGGTAAAATTCACAACGTTCACTACCATCCCACCCGATGATGGTTGTCCTACCGTCAACTCCATCCTGAGTAGCAATGACGATGACATTAAGTGGGTGTGCCAGGATATGGACCTGGGGGACTCCAAAGAGATACGAAACTACATGGAGAAGTTCAAAGACAAAGTGTAGCTCCTTGCTGGGTTTTTTGGGTTTAACGACACCTTGATGCCTTCAGTTCTACAGTAAATATTGGGACAGAGGATGGGGAGGGGGAGGAATCAGCAGGAGAAATGATGAGGCAGTTTTTATAATCAGGGAAAGAAATTTGCCAAACTGTCCATGGTTTGCTGTTGTTTTTCACTCTGTTTTGTTTTTCCAGCAGTTTTTCTGCTACTCATGGATTTAGGGAGTGGAATTGAAATGGTAGAAAGGAGCAAGGCAATGGTATGACCAGTATGATGAACTGGGCCAGATGAGGTTGTGAAAATTTCTTTTATGGGTCATACAAATAATAACGATAGCAGTGTTTCAAAGTACCAAAAATATTTGTAAAAAGAAAACAGAGAATAGAGGAGCATGAAAGAATAAGCGAGAGACAAACGATAGCCTGTCTGTATTTCTAATAAAACATCACGAATATGGACACATGACCCACAAGGAGACTTTTGAGATTGTTACTCAAGCCATTTCTTTTTGTTCCTTCATTTGAAATGAAGATGTGTCTTTGGCATTAGAGATGAAGGAGGAAGAAATTACTTGGTATTTTTATGTTACTTTTCTGTTTGTCTTGTAAGTTGAAACAGAGTAATTTTCCCTCTTGTGTTTTTCTTTTCAATATCTTGAAACCAAGAACATTTCCAATTCACCAAGTTCAGAGTGGACCAAGAACATTTTGTTCCTAAGTTAGCTATAAATAATCTCCTGTCCTTTAAAGAAATCAGGGGATAAGTACTGACTAATAATTTCTACGTGGTGTCTCTTCTGAAAGCCTAAGCTGCCACTGTTTCACCTTAGCTAGAAATATGTTCTGTTTGGAAGTTGTATTCACTTTGCGTTCAGGTTTGGATTGCTTCTTTAGTTGTTTGTTTTAAATCTCCACAACCAAAGTTCCCATGTTTCACCAAGGGAAGAAGGTGCTGTTTCATTTAGAAGTAACGACCGATGGGGGTGCCCCGCTGGTGCATTTTAAATGTACCTGGAACTGAGACCATCACAGGCCAAATATGTACAGCCTGGATCTTGTTTTGTTTTTGCCAAGTCCGTGAGTTCATCATTTTGTTCTGTAGTTTTCTGTTTATTCTAATGTCACCAGCTCTCATCAAGCTCTGAAAAGCCAGAAGAAGAACGGACAGAAAGACACCGGTTGTCCCCAAACTTTTATTTCCTTGTACTGGAGGAGCTGGCTTCTGGACAGACTGTTAGAAGGGAAGGAAATAATTGCTGAAGCAAGATCAAGAAGTATCTGGAGCTATTTTATAGATTTATTTTTTAATTGCCATTGGACCAGCTAAGACTGAAAATTTTAGACTAGATTGTAAAGCTGAAGTTTTGAATAAACGAGTACAAAATCAGTAATAAATCTGAAGCAATCTGTAGATGTGCTGTGTAAGCTGGCAGAACTGCGTTGACTCAGTGCCACTTTACACCCATGGAGGACACGGATCAAAGCCAATACAATGAGGAAACCACTGTCATCCAAAACCTTTGGTAACGGAAAGGAAGATGGTGTATCCAGCCTTTTGGAAAGCAGTGTTATGTCCTGACTGTTAGCCAGAAGCACTTACGTTGTCTTGTCTTTACCATGTATTTTTTTTTTATTACTAAACTCAGTAGTTTGTTTTTTTTTCACTTGGACAAAACCAATCCTGCCACCCAGTAACATAGAAGGACATTTTAACAAGATATGCCTAGTATGCATTGTAGACTGAAAGAATGTAATATTTATTTATACATGTTATACAAATTGTAATTAAAATGCTTTACATGGCTTGACAAATTAACCTCTCCTTTCTGAGGGGAGGGGGCTCCCTCTGTTATTTCTGTGTTGAAGTATTGCATCTGAAATAATTACAGCTGAAACCAAATTTAAGCCGCTTTCAGAAGAGAGGAGGATAGAGATGTATGAAACCCTCCTTTTGTGAACCGCTTCCCCTTCCCACCCAACACGTGGCGATGATGATGGATGGCAGGAGAAGACAGCAGTCAGGCCCAGTTCATGGCAGTGTCACTATTCATCTTGCTCATCTTCATGCCTACCATCAGCACGTACAGCGCCGGGACTCCTGCTTCTGATGTGTGCAACTTTCGTGCAGCCCAGTCATAATTAATTATGTCGCTTCTCTGATTGATACGGCAGGTTCAGATGGGAGCAAGTTTCACTGAATCACAGCTGACATATACAAAGCACCCTGCGTCCCAGAGGACCCCAAGCTACTTGACAAGCTGAGCGCAGTGATGCATCAGCCACACCTCAGGGATCTGTATATCTGCCTGGGAAAACGCAGGTGTCTCTGAGCTGAAAAAGGCATTTACAGCACAGAGCTGCAAAATACAACAGCGGAGGAGCAGGAGGGATAGAAAGGAGCAAACACAGTAATACCCTGCGATAGCACAGAATGTAATTGTCCAAAGTGCATTTTTAAGAAGGTTGTTAATGTGCTGAACAGCCCCGGTACAGCACGTGAAGGATGGCATCTCCAGTAACCCAGAGCTTCCTGGTACGGCACTGGCTGGAGAGGAAAGGGGGAATCACTAAATCACTGCTTCTAGTCCTTGCACCCTGACTTTACTCTTTGCTTTTGGCAGCTGAGGCTTGGTGGGATCAGAAGAGAAAGGGGTATCTCCATCTAGCATAAAGAGTTGGCTACTGAGAGTGAACCTGGTGAGGAGAATTCACCTTGCTCCTTATTTCCATGATGACTTGTGTGTCTCTTTCTTGGCCTTGCTGTCTGACTGGGTTGTCTAGGACGAGTATTTGACAGTGATTGACAACGTGATTCCTACTTCACCTCCTCTCCTAAAGCTCGAGTGCTTTTTTTCAAGACCGAAAAACATCTTCATTGACATTAAAAAGGGGGGAGGGATAAACAAAGTTTCCCATGAAAAACTATTTTGCAATTTCTTTTCAAAACCAGTGATGCAAATTTCTTTTGAAAGACACACTCCTGTATTAATGCAACTCAGATTGGATTCAACATTCCCAAAGAGGAGCAGCGCTCTTCTGTTACGAGTGGGAAAATTATGGCTGAGTCATTCAGTATTCACTGAAATAATCTCCATTTTTTTATTTTTGTTTGTTGACTGCCAGTACAGATCTCTGTTGTGTTTAGATTCAGACTTAGGCAGTTTGAAATACCTACCCTTTGGAAAAATTAGTTTTAATACACAGCGACGATCCTTGTGATGTTGGCTAATCCACCCGTGGTGCCTCCTTGGGAGCAAGATCTCATTGACGATCAGCATGTGCCAGCTCTCAGTGACAGTATTTTGTCATTATATTTAAATTAGAAAAACCAGTCTCTACAGAGTCTCCAGAGTGGGTGACTTCAGAGGCTTGCACACGTGGAGCCCGTTGACTTGCAGCCCGTAACGCTGGCTTGGACGCTTGCCGTTCCCAAATGCACATGGTGTTTTATGCACTGCAGATTACCACGGGCGTTTGTTACAGTGCTGACTTGCTCTTTATCTTGTCTGTGCCATAAGAATCACTTTGCAAACTCTGATAATCACGTTCAACTGCCGACACGAGCACGTGCACGGCTTCAGCAGCGGTTCCTGAGGTGCTGCAGGACTCGGGGCAGTCAGTGCAGCCGCTTTCCCAACACAAATTAAATGGCAACGTAACATCCCCAGAGCACATAAAATGGTTTTCTCTGGTGTTTTTTTAACTAAGACGTGTCTGTTGTTGATGTCTTTTAGTTCCTGAGTTACAAACTAATGGAGATCAGCTAACCTCCACATTGGCAACCCAGCGGGGGTTTAAAGCTGTACGAGGAAGACACTGCTTGTTGTAATGACACCGTACTGTAGCCAGGAAGAAGAACCACTGCTCCAGGTTCTGTACCATACATGTGATAGTAGTTGAAATGTGGAAAATACGTTCAGATAGGGCATGATGTGTTTCACAAGAGGCCCACATGGTGCCAGTGCTGTGATGGTTGGGGGAGGAGGACTCAGAAAGTCCCAAGGTCCTGCTTCAACTGTTTTGTTAGGCACAGCTACAGCATTTCTGTCTAGATCCACAGCTGCTGTAAATCTGTGCATCTCCGTTGAAGCCATCTGCTAGAGCCATGGTAATTGACAGCAGCTTGGACTTTTGATTTAATATATATGAGAAGTCCCTGACTAGAGAGGAAGAGTTTTAAAACTGCTTTACATGTGATAGAACTGAATTTGCCTTCTTCCCAGGATGAAGGGTTTGCTTGCCCCTGCCTTGAAAGTGGGAAGAGACGAGGCTCCCAGGAGTGCTCTGGAGACCTGGGCAGGATGGGGGCAGTGCTGCTGTCTTGACATTTCCTTTACCAGCACCTGCCAGCCCGGCTTTTTAGGATGTAGCTCCAAACAAAGCAGGGAGAGCATCTCCTGATGCCTGCCTAGGTCCAGGCTGGCTGAGCTGCACAGAGGTTTGCTTTCTTTCCTGGAAATCTTGGAGCTGTGCTTTATTGTGCTCTTGGTGGGTCTTAAGCCCAGAGGAAGCTTAGGAGAGGCCATTGATTTTGACTCCTGGACCTCATGGCTGAGCAGGAGTGTGTTTTCAAAATCGCATGGTCTTTGCGAAGGAAGACAGGCTGTATTTGAAGAGATAACAGAGGGAATTAAAGAAGGGAAAAACTCAGCCCTGCCTTTGCATTTAGTTTTTCTGAAGCTACAGAACATGGTGCTTCAGAGACAGAGGCAGATACTGAAATTTTTCAATTTATCTTCCACTGACCAAAAATCCCGTCAAAGCCCAATTCTGAGTGAGCCACCGTAAGTGATCATCTCAGCAGGGAAACCACCAGGCTGTGAAATATCATTTATTTGAGAAATTCGCATTGGGTCAAATGCCAGGATTTACATTTCTGAAGCTTTGCTGTGCCACAGTTACAAAGGCAGCGGGATCGGGTGCAGAGAGCGGCACTGAGCATCACTCTTGGCAACGCGCCTCCCTTGCCAGACGAGGGAATCTGCGAGTGCCAGGGGTGCGTGGC